GAACTTCAAGTGACCCCAGAACAAGTCCTCACAGAATTTTGCAAGTTGCCGAGAAGGAAAAACTTCCTCGTTTAAACTTCCCTCTATGTTTCAAGAGTCGATTAAAAGCTAAACCCAGCTAGCCCAAGCTTCAACCCTTCTATCCTTTCGCAATTACGAGGAAACTATCCAGCAAGCAGAATGTGCGAACGGTAACAAGAAGATCGGAATGTCGGGTGACTTGTTTGTTTGCTTGCATACATGCTGTCATGGACTGCCATTTTTGCGACCCGGCGTAACGGCAAATTAACGGGCGCCGCACTCCCCCGCTGACCAGTGGAACCGTTCGCTCATGAAAAGACTGGCCTTTAGTGCAGGGAAGTACTGAATGGGGTGTTCTTCTTCAAACGTTAGTCGCCGATGTTTGATCCTTTGTACCTACGGCGGCGTCGGCAGGGTCGTCAAAGGCCGCGATGCACCCCGAACTAGCTGTAGACTGTAAGACGCACCGGCTGAAACACAGGAAACTGACCATTCCCACGGGCAAAACTGCTTGTGGACAAGCCGTATGAGAGAACCCCAACAGGTTGTCACTCTCGCTCAGTTGAGGACCCTCTGCTAATTAAAAAGGGACGTGGTCAATATATTTTAGGGTGGAGTTTCTAACAATGAAACGTGCATGATTGGACCCATGTAGAGGTCTCTTTTCCCCCAGGACGAGAATCAGGGGACACGGAGGTCGATTTAAGAGCCGGATTTCGCCTTGCTAAGCAGTCTAGTTGCTGACCAACATAGTGTAGAAGGAGATCAAGAAGTATCCCTTAAGTGGTTGTGGCTCAGTGTCGGCTGACCACCTAAACTTAGCCATTCGTCTAGTTGTGACGCGAAATTAACGTCTGTAACGTAGGCATCGGTACTTGAATCTCGAGTAAGCTCAACCTGCCCGAGATCGGCTTCAAGCACTAGCCTCCCGGAAACACCAGCGCTGCAACACCACCGACATCGCAGTTGTGCCAGAACTCTGTCTGACTTCTCGCATCCGATCGCCGTGGACTCAACGCTGCCGGTCATCACAGATATCCCTTCACCTGTTTATACCTTCGGACTTTCTCATCTGTAGTTTTATTGTTGGTTAGTTTTGTGTAGTTTGCAATACTTCTCTCTTGTAAGCTGATTTATTGATTTTATACGTATTTTGTTAGTTGGTATTAAGTGTTGTACTAGATTCCTCTGCAATATTCCTAGATTCCTCTGCAGTGCTGCAATATCACTAGAGTTTTGTTTTTCCCCACATACGCCTCTGATCTCTTCACTGTCTCTGCTTACGTACGGAACGACCTAACCTGTTGCCATTCCCGTCGCCGACTTCGCGCTGGCGACGCTAGAGTGGCAGCTTGTAACACATACATACCGTTTTTGTACCGCGGTTACATTGTGTTACTTCATCAGGAGCCGTTGGTCGCGGTGTCCCCGGCTTTGGTGGTGCTATTGTCCAAACTTATTTCTTGCTTTAACCAGAATTTGAGGTTGACATACCGATTTCTTAATTTGGATACAAATAATTGAAAAGTTAGCTCGACGTCACCTGGCTAAACCCACTCGGGACCCCTCGCGTGGGCCCTCGGGACGGCCAGAATTTGAGAGGTCTAGTTCTGGGCCATTATGAGGTTCTTCATTTTCTCTTGGTAAAAAGCAGTGTTGTATCTGTTACCGAAAAAAAAAAGTAACTAAATACGTTACTCGTTACACCTACAAAAAAGAAACGCGTTGCCACCCTTCGTTACCAACAAAAAAATGTAACGCGTTACCGTTACAGTTACCGAAAAAAAGTAATGGACGCTATTTCTGCCATTACTCATCAATAATGAATATCAATCATTTTTGGTTTTGCAGCAGAAACCCTCAGTAAGAATATTTTAAAGCTCGCACTCTTCACACAAATCTTCTAAGCCGAACGACAATTTTACCCAAAATGTTGATTTAACTAGAATTGTTTGTACAAACGCGCTGAACCTTAGCAATGTCATGGAGCTTATAGTTAGAAGCCTCTATAGCTGTATGTGATGGTTTCGGACTCTACTAACACGTGGTGACATATTTGTATCAACGTCACATCACGCACAATACGAGATTCAATCATCAACGCCTTAACACGAATTCCCACAAACTAGCCCAGTTATCTGTTCTCTTAAGGATAAACGCTCTCCGCTAAGTACGCATCTCTGGACTCTTAACAAGTTTACGGCAATTCTTCCAGTGTGTTTTTTCTGGCAAAATTAACGCGCAAAATTTGTAGTAGTAAAGAATTGTTTCAATGGCTTAGTAACCTGTGAATATATTTGTGAATAAGCATTTCTTGTTCACTTTAACCTGTTTACTTACCGCAGAAATCGGGAGCATTTATGTGAAGGTGTTCATGATCAGCCTCGCTCGCTCTGGAGCTTTTTAATTAGAAACGTTAACGTGAACGCAGTCTGCCAATACTGTACGGGCTAAGTTCAGCATGCCAACAAATTACGTACTCATCATGTGGTCGGCAAGAAGGTTGGGCATACCATCGGCAACTTTTATAGTGAGACAGATTGGGGCGCAAAAGCATTTCGTCAGCTTTCTACACCTCCGCAGCAGGGAGAGAAGGATCACTTAATTTGTACTGTTGGGCGGAGTTAGAAAAGCTGGTTTTTGTCGCTGTGACGGTTCAGAATTGTGGGGCTGTCGAGCACAAGGTAGCAGCCGCAGTGAATCACAATGAATAGCCAGAAAGCCGTCGGTCTTGTCTCGAACATTATTGTCGTGCTCTCGGAGACGGTCATTGAGGCACCTGCCTGTCTGGCGGATGTGGCAGGCTCCACACGACAAAGGGAATCTGTAGACTACCCCCATGCACACATCACAGAAACCGATTACGATGCCTTACCTGACATCCAACTTTACGTCTCGTGACCAGACTGCCCCCTTGTGAGAGCGAGGCTAATTTGTGAGGGGCCGAAAAAAAAAACACATGGACACCAACGTGCCGGCCAATTTTTTTCAACTCGCTCGATCGCTGGATTTCGTGCCGACTGGTTGTGCCCCCGTGATCTCCGACGACAGCACAGCTCTGGCCGACTGGCTCGCGCACGCCATCTCATGACGCCGACAAGAGCTCTCGCTCAGTGGTGCCCCGTCCTCGGACTTCTGCGACCATGCCCATCTTTCCCATCTTCTCCTTACTTCTGTATGTGGCTGTCCTAGCTGCCCGTCTCTCTATCTCCATACCTTTAATTATTCCCTATCCTTTTTTTAATCCCTCCTTACCCCCATCCCCTGCGCAGAACTGTAGAAGTGCCCTCCGTTGAAAGAGAGGCAGTAACGGAACTGCGCTTATTTCTTCTTTTTCCGCTTTCAAAAAGTCACTTATTTCTCAATCTATGTGGCGAAAGCTGATGTTTGTAAGAAATGACCACGACTTTTTCGTGTCTGCCTATGTTTTCCTGTACGCCGTCGTATAGCACGTCGTACGTGCCCCTTAGTTCTGTAGATGCTTTCGGCCACAGCAACCAGCAACGTCTCAGGATATCCAGCATTTCCAAGGCAAGCATTGCGGCGGGGAATGTGCGTGCAGAGAATTGGTGCCTTCTAAAGATACCCCATTTACCTCCCAAATTCCTCAAACTAAATTGCGTCCACGCTTTCTTTGTGAATGCCCGGTAGGCGACAGTGGTCTGACGCTGCAACAGAGAAATTCGTCGGGGTGAGTTCTGGGAATGTGGCACCTTCGGAATAAAAATGTAACAAGTTACGTGGCACCTCACGTTACCGAAAAATGTTAACGGAAGTACGTTACCCGTTACAGTTCCGAAATTGTAATGAGTACGTCACTAAGTTACCAAAAAAAGTAACGCGTTACCGCCAGCACTGGTAAAAAGGGGGTAACCTGTCTTTCGTGGCGTGCAACACACTGGTACTGCTTTGCCATGGATTCCAGAATGTTTGTACCACTGTTCCGTTCAGCATTGTAAACGGCTACCATCCTGGCTAGTACAAACGTTATCAGCTTGCCGCTTCTGATATTGCTGTTACGTAGCTGTAAACAACTGTTTATATAAAAGATATGTGAGTTTGCAACATGTCTGTGTTTACCACATTTGTACATATTTCTAGCGTCATGTTGTAAGGTTTCGCTCAATAAAAAATTACAACAGAGTCACCTTCCCTCAGCATGCTTCGCAATGAACATCGATTCCTAAGGTACGTGGGATCTCTCGAATATTTTTCCACTTGTAGTATCGTTGTCGATTTGCTGGTGCTGCCGGACTTAAATGAAGCGCCTTATGGGCTGGTACACCTGGTTTCTGTTTCGTCGCACGTTGGGAACGAAACTTTTTTTGTCGTAAAAGGCCTTATTGCAGTCACGTTATCACACTGTCTTTCGTTTTTGATTGCTTAAATTTTTTCAATTTTATTCAATGTATCTGTCTGCTTTTCGCGGCTGACAAATGAGCAGTCATTTCAATTAGTAAAACTATATATTCATGAGCTGCAAGTTGATTAATTTCTTTCACGCGTAGTAATTAAAATTATTGATGATCAGTGTGATACCTATAATTTTAGCATCTATCTTTTTTATGTCAAAAACAAGACGGTTGCCTCTTGATCATCCACTTGGCTAGAGTGTACCCTTGTTCTAGTACACTCTAACTTGGCTAAACAAGACGCCATGTTGTTTTGTTCTCCCCGCTTCACACAGGAACATAGATCAGTTGCGTAGTGGGAATTACTCTGATCTAACCGGAAAAATTCAACTGCAGCACGTATATGGATTAAGACGTTTATTATTTTGCACAACTACCACCCCACGCTTTTCATCTTACACTGAGCACGACTTCTTACCTTCTTAACATGGCGACTAAAGCATCAGGCAGTTTACGTGAGTTTGACATCTGTTGCTCTAGCAGTCACACTAACACATACGAATATGTTTTGTCCAATCACGTTTCCCTTGGCGCTGTTCTTGCGCGCAAAGAAAGGAGACGTACTTGGGACAGGTTTGAAGTCGTCACTACACTGTGTGCATCGAATCGTAATTACGTTTACACTCTCTGGTGTCAACAGCCGCGCTCAAGAAACGTGGGGAACGGCGGAACGACGCGTGAAAAAGAAACTAATGGATACCGGAAAGCTCATCGTGAGTTTCTCTTCATAACATTATGAGCGATATGCATGCTCAGGCTTAATAAGCTCGAGAACCTCTTTTCAGTAATGCATGCAAAGCTAGCTGATCTGGCGATGCTATTCAACCAAAAAAGAAGCGTTCTGTCAGCATTTGTTCAGAACGTGGCTTGCCGCGAAATATGCTTCGACAAGCTTCGACGCTTCGAATGGCACACATTACCGTATTGCTGAAAGGCAAGCGTGCCAGACCTTCTGGTAAAATACTGCTGTTGCGTCCAACCGCACTAAGTAACCGTAGGTTAACACGTGTTCGTCCCTTCGTTCAGGCCCACCCGAGCGTCCGGGTCAGAGGATCTGAACACATCTTCGAACCTGTGGAATGCGCCAGCAAAAAATGCGGGGTACTGCCGGTTCCTCATCTGCACTGTCCGTTATGTAACAAAAACTCAGTGTTTATGGATGCACGCATCGCGAAAGCGCACTACAGAGTCAAGCACGTCGACAAAGGACTGTACTTTGCCGGTGAGAATTAATTTGAATTTTTCGCTCTTATTATGGGCTGCTTCACCCGCAGCGCAAGTAACTTTGCGAAAAGTGTGAACTATCTTCTAGACGAACTTATGAATTATTTTACTTTTTTCCCCCTGCCTCTCCTCTAGGATTAAGAATGCTGCGATGCTCAGCTACGTGCAGAATATCTGGAAGCATTAAGGGCGAAAAAAAGTTCAGAGGGCCCCACTGGCACTGCTACAAATGCAGGAACGGTTTTTGCAGACGTGATGAAGCAATGAAGCATTTTGAGACACATTTCAAGTTGCCACAGACAACATTTCAGATTAACATAGTCCAGGTGAGTTATGGTAATTGGTTGCTTGTAATGCGATAATTAGCAAAGTGCGTGAAAAGCACTGGCACTTGTAGATATCTGTTTTTATACTTGAATATGTTTTTCCTAAAAAATTTTTTATTCACTGTTATTTACCCAATGTTTGGCTTTAAAATCATTATAAGTGCACTGCTAACAATCTTACAAATATAACACCTGTCAGGCTTTGCTTTTATAAGATTTATTACGCATTTGCAATTTTAAGCAAGCAGTTTATAACTTGTTCATGCAGAATATGCATAGTATACCATCAATTCAATATGAAAGACCTTTACTGTTGGTATAAAAGTATGCACAGAGCTCGCCCTGCCAGGCAGTACCAGCAAGGGCCTATGTCAACCCTACATAGCCATGGTTTTTCAGCGACCCAGCACATGCCCGTCTGATGCCATGAGTTATTATGAAAAAAAAGATATCAAAACAACACATCTGTGGCCAAACACTTTGGTTGTAGTCATACGATGACTATCGTGCGCACGGCCATGGCTATGGTGACTGCTGTACTAGTGCCCTTGCAGATGATGTCACGTGCATGCCTCATACTCAACCAGAATTTCTCTGTATGAGCAGTCATGCAAAAAACTGTGCTGCGTTACCTTTCTTAACATTCATGATATTTCAGGATGTTAACGAAGGAATGGGACTTCAGTCAAGTTTGGACAGCAGTTCTGTTGAACATTCAGAATGTCAAATGTCATCAGCATCTGATATTAGCACAGATATGGATTCAAACACAGCAGTTGGTAAGTCATTAACGTTTTCAGTCGGTCCTTATGCATCTTATGCAGTTGGATGTCAAAACTGTGTGCAATAGCGACAGTGGTACCAGCACAGTTACCGCATCTAGCATGTAGTTTTACTGCAGAGCTGTGACGCCAAACAGTTGTGGTGAAGCTGGTCTTCAGAATCTTTGCAATTCATCAGCTTCTTTTGTGCATTAGTAAGGTAGTCATCTGTTTCCTCCAGGTGTAAGAGTCAGTCTCCTAGCTCTGGCTCTGAAACTCTCGCAGCGGTGGTCATTAGCTCTGCCAAAAATGGGCATTCTCACATACAGTCAGTGAGTGCAGCTAGCCGATTGAAACTTGTATTGTCGTAGCTCACAACTACCATGCGTGCAGACTGGGCGAGGTGCTTTAAAGGTAGTTCACCCAAATTTGGAAGCTGCCTCTCGTTGAAGGACTGCTCACAAAGTAACTGCTGCATGTCGTGCAGCAGTTGTCATTATCTTTGTACACAAAGTTTCTCAAAAAGTAGCTGCTACAGCCTACTCTGTTGAGATGGCTCCAGGTTCTGCAGGACTGTTCATTTGAGATCGTCCTATGCTATGGCAAAAGGCATACCTGCAAGCAAGTGTACAGCATCAGTGACGCCTGATGCTAGCGGGGCAATGATATGTAGGTACCTTTCTCTCTTTGAAGGTATGCACTACAACTGAAAACAGGCCTTTACTTGAGTAAACCAAACTTGGTTATTTTTGGCCAGAAGCTGGGAAGCTGAAGTTCTGTGACGATGATGAGAGGCACAATCATGGCATCATCTCCATCAGCTGGAGCAGAAAATACATCTGTATGCAACTCAAGAGCAGAGATATGACTGTCGTTATATTTGAAGGCAAATACAGGTTCCTCCACGTGGCGGTGGGGATGTCTGGGTGTTCGGATTATTGTCTCTTAAGAAAGGGCGAGGCCCAACGACCCTTAGGCGAAGGTAACGAGTTCAAGGACGAACAGAGGAAACCTTGCAATATTGTTTCGAGAGAACAAACGTGATGCGTGGCAATGGCCATGGGCAGTAAACCCTGAAAGGGATTGGTAGGCTATGTTTTCCTACAATATTTACTAGAGGGAACTCTGGGTTAGTGTCTATGGGGGCTGCAATGCATGGCACTTCAGCCTGGATGGGAATAATGGGTAGTGCACAAATTTGTCTTGTCTTCGTTCGTTCGGCTTTGTTTGATTTCATGAGGCCTGAATCCACTTTGTCGCAAGACTAAGTTCAGGGAAAGTTCAGCAATTACGCTTCAGCACTTCAACTTTTTAGGCTCATCAATTCTAATCGGCTCATGAAGTTTAAATGGTGCAGTTTTTTATTTGAAACAAAACCAAAACACAGTAGTAACGGAAGCCACTAGTGCGTCCGAAGTCTGCAAGCATCAAGACTAGGCAAACTTGTGTACTACCGATCATTGATCTGAGTCATTTGACAAGGATAGTTCAAAAGATGCTGATTTGTATATAAAATCTTCCGAGCCTAGCAGCTTATTTTTAGATCCAACTTCTTAGAGCGAAATTCTTAGCTTAAAAACTTCTCGGCAGGCTTTAATGGCATTAAGGTACAAAAGCTGTTTCCTGTACAAAAGCTGTACAAAAGGAGTTATAAAGATTTGTCACACGCTTGAGTCACGTTCTTTCTTCTCTCGTCCTGACAAAAACGCTGTAAGCTCAGCAGGGAGAGATTGCAGGGTCAAAGAAAATATGTCACATGCGCCTCCCGACCTTGAGCACTTTTGTTTTCTTTGAATACGTGGCTTTTTCTGTGTGAACGCAGCGCATGCGTAGGCAACTCGCGGCCTATCGTGGCGAACCTTGCCACAACTGGGCTCGCCGTGTTCAAATCGGCCAGTGGCTAATAGATGGCCTTCTACGAGTGATTTTTGAGCGTTCTCCATCATTTGTCGAGAAGAAGAAGCAATTTTTAGCTATAATATTTGGCTCGCGTGTTCTCGGGAGCTGGTACTATCGTTCGGCAGTGTTTTCTGACCATGCTCAAAATGTGTTGCCGGGCCCCTCTAATGACATAGTTTCAATTCCACTCACTCCAGATATATTTTTTTATGTAGACGATACGAGCGTAGTCTATTCTTTTGCTGACATAGCTACTCTCGTACCACTGGTAAGCTCCTGGTCAAAGAATTTATCAGATTGTTATACATTAATCATCTACAATGAAATGTCAGTAAAATAAAATTAATGGTATTTCATGCCAATAATAAACTGGTGCGATTGCATGATGCTCTTACGTTTTGATGTGAGAAATAGAGTGTGTTACGCAGTATAAATTTTTGTGAGTACCGTTTAAGACAAATTTTTGTTGGACTAAGCACATAAAGTTCATAATACACAGCATTTAGAAAACAATGGGTATGTTAAATAAATATCGCAACTTACTGCCTACATTTCTTAAGTGACATCTTTACATTTCATTGATACATTTTCACCTTCATTACTGCGTACTTGTTTGGGGTGTTACATTTCAAAGCAATTAAAACTTATTCATTATGCAAAACAAGGCTTTTTGTTTTGTTCATAACTTAGGACATCATTAACATGTAACCACCTATATTATCATCAATCGTATACACAATATCCGTGCAATGTACGCTCGACTCTCCAAGCTCATTTATTGTCAATATGCAGCCAGTTCTGAAACCCTTCTATCCACTTATAGCAATAATTCTCCTCAGTGTCAATTCAGACATTTGGTATTCATTATGCCAAAGGCCAGAACAAATTATGGATTACAGTTACTAAACTGGCAAATTATAAACTTTTTAAATATTCACAAGGTTCTAATGTCATTTATTACTGCATATCACGTGCTGGCAACATTCAGCAAGAAATAACAAAATATTTTCTTATAAGTTGTAAATGTTTACCTATTTAGAGCTTCATTCATTTATCTATTATGTATTTTTTTGGTTGTAATTTGTGTTATGTCATGCCATTACTGTCGAAAGGTCAGTAATTCTGTTTTCGTGCTATTGCTTCTGTTTTATTTCTGTATTATTCCTGTGTATGATGCATCTTGTTCCAAGTTGGAGTCACATTTTTGTGTGTGGAATTCCACCACAGTCTGCATGTCCTTTTTTCTATGATTGCTATGATTGCTGATACCTTTTTGTATAATATTTACCATATGCATACAAGTATTCTGTGTGATGAATGCATGAACGGTGCTAGAGGCTCTGCCAGTTGACATTTTTTTCACCTTTTGCCACGTCACCTTTTGCCACTAGCACCATGACAATCTGGTTGCTGAATTGAATAAATAAATAAAATCGTTTCCATGGTGACTAAATGATTGCAGCACCAGAGTCTCCTCTAGTTAACTTTAGGAAACACTTTGCAGAAGGCATTCACTACAAACTAATGCAGAGTAATTTAAGGGGGATGAAATTTCAATTAAGAAAAGTGGTACTTGATTAAAAAAAAATGGAATTTCAGTTATTTGTTGGCCTCACCTCATATTTATGTCGTTGATCCTGAAAGGGTTAATTACTATAAGTGTAATTTAGAAAAAGACAATGCATACTACATGAACATCTGCATGCTCATGTATGCTTGTTAGTAGGCTTATAATGTTGCTCATCAGCAGCGCTGGTAGGTAAGTGTCCTCATTGCCACGTTTAGTCCATGTCGCACTGCATTGTGTGCCTTTCAGTTGCTACCCATGTCTCAACAAACACTCAATAGGCTTGAAGAAATCAGCTCTACAAGGATATATTCAAGGATATTGTAACAAGGTTCTTTAGAATAGATAACAATATAGGAACAAGTTTCATTGGGGACAGCATCATTTTAAGGTAACTGGTGAGGCTGTTTTCTGTTTCTTTTCACTTTATGAAGACACACAAAAAAGTCTTACAACAAAGATGTTATATAGGGACACAACGCATTATAACACGGGAAAAAAAAAAACTACACATGCCCGAGCTGATTCTCAACATGAACGTCTCACCGCCAAGTGCTTGAAACGTTTGCGGGGCTCGTCTACGTAGGCGCGGTATAACTCAGGAATGCCGGCACCGCAGGAGTTCGGCAAAGAGCAGGGCAACGCTTAAGCTGGTCTGTGCCGAAGACCGAGGTCGACGAAGCCATGCAAGCTTCTCCTCCGACGCGTGGAACAGGGGCCGCTGACACTTGAAGCCAAACGAAGCAAGCCACTCTGACCCTTATCGCCTGCCAGGCACTTGGGACAAAACCACGGCGGTCACTCTGGCGAACCGTCTTCCTTGCTGCCGCCCACCCAAGCACAGCCTTCCGAATCCCATCTCGTCACACTCCACGTACACTCCTCTCCCCTTCCTGTTGCAGCCTCTCGTCGTCTTCGTCTTCACTCTAGTTCTCCTACCGTGCTTCTGCCCGACGAATTCGTCTGCTATGTCCATGTCGGCTTTTGCACCGCATCACATGACATACGCGCCCATCTCTCATCACAGAGATATATGTTGCCCTCGGCACACACATACATGGCATGGACAGCCTCAACGACACCTTGCTGTTCTATGGCCATTGTAAAATTTTAGATAGACATGGGTGGTTTAATGTCCCAAAACAACCATATGGTTATGAGAGACGCCGTAGTGGAGGGCTCTGGAAATTTGGACCACCTGGGATTTTTCAACGTGTACACAAGTCTGAGCACACGGGCCTACAGCATTTTTGCTTCCATAGAAAATGCAGCCACCACAGCCAGAATTCGATCCCACGACATGCTGGTCAGCAGCCGAGTACCTTAAACTGACTACTGTGGCAGCGCTATTGCAAAATTTTATGCCACTTCATCTAACAAATTGATAACGACATTTAACACAGTTTTGCTGCCTCTTTAAGTTAAGTCTTCTAATGGCGATAATTGAGAATGAATGTAAATTGAAGGTGAAAATGAAAAAACTAAGCTTCACAGCTCCACCAAGTTTCCATGCCCCGCCGCGGTGGTCTAGTGGCTAAGGCACTCGGCTGCT